TTATTGTTTTTGTTAGGAATTTTTTTTCGGCTGCATTGACTTTAAGGAATAAATTAAGCCTAGCCACTACAATTGCGTCGGCACTTACACATGTCCAAAGAAATTTGTTTGAGAATACTTGTTTCGGGCCATGACTGAAAGTACAACATCTAAGTGGAGATGCTTTGTTGACTCATTTGTTTCTACAGACCATGACTAATGATTTACCCGAGGGGATACCACGTGGCGATACAGAGATATGGTTTCATTTTCCACCGACGTATACTCGTTTTGGGCGGGAGGAGTTTTGCTTGGTCACTGATCTATGTTTCAAACAACACGATGAATTAGGTCTGTACACTAGTCATATCGCCACCCCATCATGGTTATTTCGGGTTTTTCCTGACCTGGCAAAGGTGATAGCCACTTTACACATCGACGATTTGAGCATATTACTTTTTAAAGATAGTTTTACTCGGATGGATGAACTTGATGTTGTCCTAGTATACCTTTTGTTACTTTTGTATGCCGACTTTTTAGTAGAACAGGGCATACAACCTATTTGTAAGGATTTAATATTATTGATAGATGACTTAGATGCATGGAACGTGTTTCCGTGGGGTTCATATATATGGAAAGCTACTTGGACAAAATTGTCGTATGCCTTTGAGGATCGTCCTAGTTTGCATGGGCATGGTTCCAAATACACTTTTGTAGGATTTATTTGGGCCTTTAAGGTAAGAAATATATAATGTTTCCAAAATTAATTATTTAACAATTACTAAAATTAATGTGTGTGTATTATATTGTAGATTTGGATATTTGAGGCATTTCTCAGCATGCGTACTTATGCCATCAATAATTCAAATGATATTCCTAGGGCTATTACTTGGAAGAGGATCCGACAGTTGGATTGGGATGAGATACTACCATATATGACGATCGATGATGTAAGTAAACACAAATACTTATTTAAATTGGTGGCTATTGGGTGTACACACACACACAAATATATAAACAATTTATTACTAGTAGACGTTTGACTTTATTTGAGCTTTTATATTGTTAGGAGGCAAACTATCCATTACAGACATTGATACCCATATAGGCTGAGGTTGCTACTGACTGGTGGCAAGCTAGTAGGCATTTTTTATGGGACGGATGATGAGGACCCCCATTTTTTCATCGAGTCGATTCTCCACTTAGACACCGAGATCCATCACCTCATCGAGCCGATTCTACACCTCGACACTGAGATCCATCACCTCTAGCCGACTCTACACCTCGACACCGAGATCCATCACCTATTCCATCACATCATCGAGCCTTTTCTCCACCATCACCTCATGTTAGGCGACCGACAAAGATGACACGTACTTTGTCTCCCCGTTCTCCACTGACATATCCCTTATATGTACACTGACATGTTGATATAGGCATGTGAAACATGTTGAAGTAGGTTATACAACATGCAAAATAAATTTTGGATTGCTAATATAGTTTTCTCATGAATACTGTCATCTGTGTTATTTACCAATAAACAGGATATCATGCAAGGAACCCAACTTCTAGCTATTGATGTTACTGCTACAACATAGTTGCTTAGAAGGGCCCTGATTGGGGATGAATTAGAAGAAAAAGAAAAGAAAGCCCTTCGGAGAACTCTAACTGACTTGGCATCAGTCATTCCTATTAGTATTTTGATGCTTCTTCCTGTAAGTTAAAATAATACATCATTATGACAAATATGTCTCTGTCATTACATTGTTGAATGATCATTTTTTGTTTTCTTATGCACATAACAAATTTATCATGGGACTTCCACTTAAATCATCAACCTCAGATCAATAAAAAAACAACACTTTTGCTAATAATATGACCACATGAGTTTGGGGCCAAAAAGTAATTTTAGAGAGAATACTCTTCCTATAATTTTATCTGGAAGTATTTGTTCATGTAAGGTATCTTTAACACCTACAAATTTTCTCTAAAGTAAGTTTGTCTATTCTTTTTCCCCTAATTATCCAAAATAATGAATCATAGTATAAACATCTAGCATGCTGGGTATATCAAACAATTGATGTTGAGCGAGCCTTAAATTATTAGAGAATTAAGAAAGAATACTTCTATACCTCTATATGACTAGAACAAATTTACAGCTTGTATGCTATCTTTCTAGTCATCTTTTATTTACAATTCAATTTATTATTTTTGATGGAAAAATTATGCTTGTAGGTTACTGTTGTTGGGCATGCAGCCATGTTAGCTACCATTCAAAGATATGTGCCAATAAGATATGTATATACCCTAAAAATTCAAGTGGTACATATATATTACTAAGTAAACATTCGAATTTAAATTAATACATCAAAATAAATAATTTTAAATATATTAATTCAGAATAGAAATACAAAATGAAAATAATGATTTTTCTTATGAGTTTATTATATTATGAACAACAATGATGTTTTTACCCTTTTATATACTAATAATAATATAAAAATTTCAAAAAAATTAAGAAAACTAACCCTCGGTGGTTGATTTTCCATTTGTGACCGTGAATGGTTATGAGAAGGTGTGTGGTTGTGTTTGCGGTCGTGGATAGGGTGGTTGGTGGTGGTTACGGCTGGTGGGGGTTGCGGTTTCCAAGAGGGTCGAGGGTGACTGTGAGAGATAATGATGGAGGGGGATTGCCGGAAATGGGGACGGATGTCGCCGGAGATAGGGACAGATGTCGTCGGAGAAAGTGAGAGATAGACCAAGTTACGATTTAGGGGTTTAGGTTATGAGTTGCGATTTAGGGGGTATTCCCAAAACATTAGTGTTGCGAAATTAAAAGCTGAGTTGCGAAATTTAAATTCGCGTTGCGAATTCGAAAATCGAGTTGCGAAAATGAAATTCGTGTTGCGAAATTTAAACTCACGTTGCGAATTAGAAAATCAAGTTGCGAAAACGAAACTCGTGTTGCGAATTTAAAAATCGAGTTACAAAAATGTCAAATTCGAGTTGTGAATTATACTTCTGTGTTGCGAATTCCAAATTCGAGTTGCGAATTCAGAAACTGTGTTGCAAAATTAGCTTTCATGTTGTGAATTCCAAATTGAGTTGCGAATTCATTGGTTATTTTTGCAAATCCAAAAAAGTTGGTTAACATCGTATATTATAAGGCATTTTCGGTTACTCAAGTTCTTTTCTCGATATATAACTATTTTTTACAAGTATAATGCATTATACAGATTATGGGCTCTGGGCAGGTGCCCCTCCTGCCCAGGCCCAATACGACCTTGCTAAGATATAATACTCATTTGAGATTATGAAATCATATTTTATCATATATCAGTTAACAAGTTAACATCAAACTCAGACTGTCATCATTTTTTTTAACAAAAATGATGAATTTGGAACATATAAATAGGCATATGATCATTTTGTAATTTTTATAGTCGAACTCAACAAAGTAACTCCTTCTGATTAGAAGATTATTTTGTAACTCTTAATAGTCGAAGGATTCAACAAAATATTATACTATAATCAGAAGACTATTTGTATAATTTACCTATAAAATTAATAATCCATCAAAAATATTGTTAACTTGTTATTAAAATAACATTTGGCATTAACCAATTTACTTCAGTGATTAAAAAATCGTTATTGTTCTTAAAGGTAACATGTTCGAGCATTAATAACTGCAAAAATGATTAAACGTTCATTTTCAAATGATTTAGAGTACTCATAACATACATTATTTTATATTTATCTCTAGATTAATAATAATAATAATAATAATAAAAACATTGACGTGTAGAATTTTAAAGTGAAATGATCATATATGAATATTTAGTTATGTCATATATATATATATTTTATCTATATATATTATATTTTATATTAAGAATTAATAATTTTGAAACTTTTATAACTAATATACCCTTAAACTCAAAATTTTTAGGATGAACTATATAAATAGTCACCAAATTTTAAAAAATTTACATTTTGATCACTAAACTCTTAAAACTTACAATACAAGCACTTAACTTCTAATTTTCTTTTATTATAGTCATTGTTGTTGGCAACTGATAAAAAAGATGATGATGTGGCACGTTAAAGTCATATTATTCCAAAAAAAACCCTGTAAGTTTCTCAGACTTGAAATCGACAGCCACCGTTCCTCTTCTCAACATCATTTTTATTGTCATTCGATAGTTTCTTCAGTCGAAAAGATTATTGAGGTACACCTATTCTTATTATCTTACTTTTCGTTGGTTCAAAAATCATAGAAAACTCTTCCAATCAAAATTAAAAGCTAAAACTTTTTGATTCGTCACTATCAACTATCGGAAAAGCTTAAAACTGAACTATATTAACCTTTTAGTTAAATAGAACCTTCCCATCATTGGATTGATTTGACAATCATTTAGTTCTAGATGTTGTTGTTATGGACATTGACAAAATGAAACTGGTGATGGTGACTCATTGTTGGTTTGGTTGTGGATGGTGTTTGTGAGTCATGGTTATGGTCTTTGAGACTTAGATGAAGTGATTGTATTGAATGATTTTGCGGTCGTGGGAAGATGAAGCTCTTGAGTATGGTGGATGTTGTATTTAGAAGCAACAAGATCAGAAGAACATTAGACAATGATGATGCAGTGAAGAAGGTCGACGAATGCAAATTATGAGAAACTTAGGATTTTTTTAGAAAGAAAATGTTTTTAACATGACACAACAATATTTCTTAATAGTAGTTAAGGACAACGACGGTAAGGAAAACAAATTGAAAGTTCAATGACTATATAGTGTTTTAAAAGTTCAGTTACTGAAATGCAAGCGTTATAAGAGGTTGGTGACTATTTATATAGTTTACTCTTTACTTTTATTATTTTAAATTATTATTGATAAAAATTATATATTTTTTTCATGCTAGATTCGTAAGCTGGGCCTTGACTGCTCAAAGTTTTGGGCTTTGGGGGGGGGGGGGAGTTAACGTCTTCATTCTTTCATAATTTTCTATTCCTCAACAAGCTGATCTTCCTTAGGGTTCCATAGTCAAACTCGTTGACCCCTCCACCGGGGAGACAAGGAGATGGTGAATCAAGGTGCCAAGAAGAGAACACTCGACACATCGCCAATCTCCGGCGCCTCATCATTGCCTGCAACGTACGTACGCTCTCATCATTTACCCTATTTCTTCAAACCCTACTTTTATCAGCTGCTCACTTGTTTATTTTGTAATTAATTGGTTTTGATTAAATTAGGTTTCTCCAAGGAATTCCTTTGTGACCACATTTATGCTCAGTGTTAACTTTATGACGCACAATTAGGAAATAGAGAACTTAATGGCCATAGATGGCATTGATTCATTTGGAATTGAAGTTTCTGAATTTTGCATAAACATTCGAAATGCACCCTTGGTTCACGGGTAAATAGCTCGGCTTCACATCTCCGTGTTTGAGTTTATTGTTTATGCATTTGTCAAACCCATAAAAGTAAAAATTATAAATTACGTGGTTAGTGCGATAACTTGGTAATGTTTGGGTGATATTAAGTGCACAGACATAGTAGGTATATTAAGTGCGAGCTCGACTTGTCGGCAATGGTGATATTGTTCATCATGACAATATTCATCAACGCACTGGTGGAATATGTGGGTATGTCTTGTTCAATGTTTTATCTATTTTCACCCTAATTTCAATGTGTGGATTTGTTTTTAATTTTTCGATCTATTAAAAGATTAGGAGGAATTGCGTTAGAACAACCATTCTTAATATGTTTCCTAATTCTTTGTAAATGAGGCAATGCATGTAACAGGTGAGTACTACCTCAGGCTTTGCTAACATAGGAATAATATTACTATTAGTTTGCTTTGGCTTTATTGTTGTATGCTGTACGTCCCCAATATTAGGCTTTGCTAGCTTTGCGTCTTGATAGTGTTTTTTTTTTCCTTTTTCTATGAAAATCTGAACTCAGATTTGAGCTTTTCCAATCATTCTTGTCTTATTCTACAGGGAATCAACTGGAAAGTTGGATATTCTTAGTTTTCTTATCTGCCAATAAATTTCATTTACCTATTTATCTTGATGTTATGGTATAAAAGTAAAAATATTGTTGTTCATATCTAGGTGACGTTGACGCTGTGAATTGATTCATTAGCCTTAAAATCTGAATATTTTTCTTTTATCTGCATGTATTGAATATTCCCAACTTGAGTTGCCCGGTTTTTGCAGCTATTTCCATGATGTAATCTATATCACAAGTTTTGTGCAATTGATGTCCATCATCTCTGACAAGTTTTGGTATACATATCTTGTGGTACGTTCTATTACCTTAGTTTGCTCATTTAAAGCTCTTGTCTGATATTCCCATTCTTTGATTGCTTTTGGGATTGAAGAGCATTTTATAGTTTCTGGAGGGAGTTCATCTAATGCTTATATTCTTTTTTTTTTTTTAAAAAAAACTTGAAAAAAGAGTGAAATTTGTCAAAATATCTTGGGAAAAAATGTGAAAGAGCAAAATTTGTGGAAGAAATTTTACAATTTCATTTAAAAAGGAGAATGTAATTCTGGTATAGTGTTATGATCATGTATTTTGGATTGATAGTTCAGCTCGTTGAAGTGAGACCAAAACCTTTCATCTCATCAAAGGGAGACTGAAACCTTAGGACTCATTAAAGAGACCTAGATTTTTAGGACTTTTTATATAAATTATGTTTAGAGTTTTAATATTTCAATGTCCTTTTAAATAAGGACTAGTCTTATTACATAAAAGGAAACCGATTCTTTAATAGAAAATAAATCAAGTGAAATAAAAAATAATCTAGAAACAAAGAAATAAAATTACAACCTAAACCTTAAATTGAGAATAAGAATTAACTAATGACCTTTCCTAAAATATGTTCAGCCCATAACATATAGTAGCTGCATTCCTGCCTCTTAATCTCACCCATGTTCATTGGTTGGTTAATTAAATAACATTCATGGAGCATGGCAGATTGGCAGTGTTATTTGAAGTGAACAAATTTTAGCTTTTAATCTAGTTATCTCCCTTCTGTCAGATTTGTGCACCAATGGTAGCTGGTCTAACTGTTAGGTTGTATTGACTCCCATTACAGGAGACACACTTACCTGGAAATCATTTAATGCTAGCATCAGACCAGAAGGCTTTGACTTATTAGGGGAGGGATCATGTTCATATGAGTTTCTCCTATAACATTGATGCTCATTTCTAAGATCGATTATTTAAGTGCTTCTATTATGATGAAAAGGATTTGGTATTTGATAAACGAAATCTATTAGTCATTTTCCCGGTTTTTAGGATTTGAACTGAAAGGAATTGTAACGTAGGATCTTAACATGATACTAGTCTTTAAGAACAGCATTTGCCAATAGAAAGTTCTATGCTAATATAGATTTGTTGACAATTCTTAATTATGTGGTAGAATCTACTTTATCTCACTTAGGTGGAGAAAAAGGATATTGACATAGCATTTTGGATCTACTTGTTGCTTTTCAGATACCAGCATTTGGAGAATACAAATCTTTCCGGTTCATTAGAGGTTTTCTGTCATCAGTCTCAGAGGTATTCGATGCTTTCATATTATTATTATTTTTTATAAAAGAGATATATTGTAAACATTGTTTTCATACGATTGTGTGTGAATTAGGGAGAGGTTGAGGACGAGAAGACTCGCAAGAAAAGGGAAAAGATGGAGAAAAAGGCTTCAAGGCCCAAGTTTGTCAAGGCAAGGAATAGGTGAGTTTAACACTGAAATGAAACAAACTAAGGTCTTGGCTGAAAGTAGTTGTAAAATTTCCCATGTTGCTTTCAAAGTTTAAAAGTTAGACCATAGTTTGTATTAGTTTGAGGAAAGCATGTTGTATTTGTTAAAGTGAACATGAAGTAGTTGTGTTCCTAATGAGAAGTTTTATCTGACTTCCATAGCCTTAATTCATTTGTTTAATTTTTCTTGCAATTAGCTGGGAAATGGCAGGATAAGAAGACTGTTTTAGTTGATGCTTTGGAAACATTAATAATTGATTGCAGCCTAGTGCTATTAGGAAACTGGTAGTTAGCAAAAGTTACTTATTTGCATATGTTTTGGTATTGTTGAACATGTCATCTTGACAAGGTGAGAAAAAGTAATTCGGTTTGCAACTTAGAGGACTTGGGTTCAAGCAAGTGTGTTTGCAAGGTATGTATTATCAATTTGTTAAGAAAATTATGAACAAATACTACACTTTAATCACCCTAGACTATTAAAAAGGAAAAAAAGTTAGTTTTCATATGTTGATGCAGGTCAACATCAACATAGTCGTAGCTAAGTTTGGGTAGGAGGGGCACTTGCCCAGGGCCCAAAATTATCTATTTAGTCACTTAATTTTGTTTTGGTCACATAATTATTACTATTATTTTAAATTCATACCTAACATTATGTTTTTTTTCCTGTTTTGGTCATCTAATATTATTTTATTCTTACTCTTACAATTCAATTTTTTTTTTCAAAATTTATTATTAGAAGTCTAATTTTTATGTTTGCCCTGAGGTCACTAAAATGGGCATGTATGTCAATAGGTCTTACATACTTATATGGGGATACGTGATTTGGGCCATCCATAATGCGAATTAGACTTCCAAACACGAACGCTTCAAGTTATCCATGTGTTATAGAATAAGAGAAAAGAGTAGACACGAGAGAAGAATTTAGAGAAGATAATAGTAGAAAAGAAATTCATCATTCAATTCATAATGGAAAATGTGATTACACAGCAGTTTTATTTAGCTATAGGCTGTACAGAGAATCTAACACTGCCAGCTGGCATTCTTTGTTAACAAACTTCCTAACAGATTGGCTCTTATCCTTCTTTGGCTATTACAGGTACTGGGCCATCCGGTTGGGCCACTCCACTTTGCCTTGGACCTCCTCAGACTGCTTCAACACATCAGGTAACTTCATCTCCTTTTCTCCTCGTGCTTCAATTCCCTCTTCTAATTCAATTCCCAAATTACTCTCCAAAATCCCTAACCCTCGTTCCTCTATTCCCAATACCTCTTCGCTCCTTCGTTCCTCCTCTTCTCCTCCGATTTCTTCCTCTTCTCCTCCGACTCTAACAATACCCACCCCACGAGATGAGCCTTGTCCCCAAGGATCAAAAGCAGGGAACTGCCCTTTTAGAACCGAGTAGTCCTCCCATGTATCATTCGAGGCATCCAGATTCGTCCATCGAACCAAAAGTTGAGTTACTGGTCGATTGTGTCTATTTATTATACGTCGTCCCATAATCTTCAAGGGTTTAATACTTAACTCTCCCTCCTCATCAACTGTAGGAGGATCTGTGGCAGCAGTGGAAGAGTCCCCGATTAACTTTTTCAAGAGACTCACATGGAACACTGGGTGGAGCTTCGAGGAATTTGGTAAGTCTAATCGATAAGCCACCTCTCCAATTTTCTCCAAAATCGTATATAGACCATAATATTTGGCTGCTAACTTGAGGTTTTTTCGCAGAGCAATCGAGGTTTGCCTATAAGGCTACAGCTTCAGGTAAACCCTATCTCCCACAGTAAAAACCCTTTCTGACCTTTTTTTATCTGCCTGTTGTTTCATACGATTACTAGCCACTTCTAACTGTTGTTTTACCAATTGTCTGATTTGATCTCTACTTGTGACAATATTCTGTACTGTTTGTAATGTTGTATCAGTAGACCAAACCATAATAGGTGGTTTGTATCCATATAAAGCTTGAAAAAGAGTAAGCTTAATAGCAGTGTGATAAGTGGTATTATACCGCCACTTTGCTTGAGATAGCCATTTAGCCCATTTCTTAGGTTGATAGAAACAAAACCCCCTTAAATACTGCTCCAAACATTGATTAACTCGTTCTGTTTGACCATCTGTTTCTGGATGGTAAGCAGTGCTGAAAACTGTCTGAGTACCCAATTGCTTCATCAGTTCTTTCAAAAAGAACTGGTAAAAGTCTTATCTATGTCTGAAATAGCCATCTTAGGCTGGCCATGTAATTTGTAAACATTGTCTAAATACAATTTAGCAACATCAGTTGTTGAATAGGGATGAGAGAGGGCCAAAAAATGGCTATACTTTGTAAATTTATCCACTATAACCAAGATGCAATTCTTCTTGAATGATGTAGGCAGTCCTTCAATGAAATCCATAGTAATGACCTCCCAAGCTTGATTAGGGACAGGCAAAGGTTGTAATAAACCATGCTTAGAAATATGCTCCACTTTTATTTGTTGACAAACTGTACAACCTCTCACATAAGTAGCAACCATCTCTTTAAGTTTAGGCCAATAAAAATTAGACCTAACTCTGTAATAAGTAGCCTGTACTCCTGAATGACCACCCTGTGGAGAGTCATGTAAGGTTTGAATAATTTTCAACCTAAGACTTCCATGAGCTCCAATATAGACCCTTCCATTGTATCTAAGAACAACATTAGAAATTTTCCATTTACTGTCTGCAGTAGTATTTATAGCCAGAATTGAAATCCAATTCTGAGCTAAAGTATCACCTTGATAACTGTGCTCCACTTCCTGCACCCAAGTAGGAATTAAAACAGTCACCCCTAAAGTAAAACACTGAGCTTGATCTTCCCATCTTCTAGATAAAGCATCAACAACAACATTTAATTTCCCTTTTCTATATTGTATAGTATAGTCCAACCCTAATAGCTTTGTTAATCCCTTTTTCTGAATAGTGGTAGTCAATTTATGTTCCAACAGAAATTTTAAAGGCTCATGATCAGTTTTAATAATAAATGGTCCACTCTCCAAATAATGCCTCCATTTAGAAACAGCCAAGAGAATATCAAGATATTCTTTTTCATAAATAGACAATGCTGAATGTCTAGGGCTTAGAGCCTTACTCATATAAGCAATAGGTCTACCTTCCTGTGAAAGAACAACCCCAACACCTCCAGAACTTGCATCTGTTTCCAAATAAAAAATCTTAGAGAAATCAGGCAATGCTAAAACTGGAGTAGAACACATAGCTCTTTTAAGGTTTTCAAAAGCAATGGAAGCATCAGAATTCCAATGAAACCCCTCCTTCTTTAAGAGTTGTGTTAAAGGTCTGCTAATAATACCATAATGTCTGATAAATCTCCTGTAATACCCTGTCAATCCAAGAAATCCCCTCAAAGATTGAATGGTTTTAGGTCTTGGCCAAGTCTGCATTGCTAAAACCTTGCTAGGGTCAGTAGACACCCCTGCAGTAGAAATTATGTGACCTAAATACTCCACTTGCTGTTGTCCAAAAAAACACTTGGACAATTTTGCAAATAATTTATTAGCTTTTAAAACCTCCAAAACCATTTGCAAATGCCTCATATGATCCTGCATACTACTGCTGTAAACCAAAATATCATCAAAGAAGACCAAAACAAATTTCCTAAGGAAGGAATTAAATAAATCATTCATAAGAGCCTGAAATGTAGCAGGAGCATTAGTAAGGCCAAAATGCATCATCTTAAATTCATAATGACCTTGATGTGTTTTGAAGGCTGTCTTATAAATATCCTCTGGTCTGATTCTAATCTGCCAGTAACCAGACCTCAAATCAATCTTGGAAAAATAGACTTCCCCATGCAACTCATCCAATAAATCTTCCACTATAGGAATAGGAAATTTATCCTTGATTGTCATGCTATTTAAATGTCTATAATCCACACAAAATCTCCAAGTGTCATCATTCTTTTTAATAAGAAGGCAGGGTGATGCAAAAGGACTTTTGCTAGGCTGAATAACAGAAGAAGAAAGCATACTGGCAATCTGTTTTTCCACCTCAATCTTCTGATTATGAGGAAACTTGTAGGGTCTTAGATTAACAGGTGTAGCATTAGACTTTAAAGGAATAACATGATCATGAGTCCTCTGAGGTGGTAATCCTTCTGGTTAATCAAAAACAGTGTTGTACATGTCCAATAATTGTTGTATTTCAGTAGGAATAGGATGAAAATTTCCTGACATAGTCAATAAAACAATGTGACCCGTAATATCTGAATCCCACGCAGTCATTTTAAGTAAGGTAGCCCCAGAAATCTGCTGTAATTCTGATGAAGGCTGTTGTCCTTGAATACATATATTTTTTCCTTGATGGTCAAAACTCAAAGTCATATTATTGAAATCCATCAATATAGGGCTAAACAATTTCATCCAATCAACTCCCAATACCATATCACTACCACCCAATTTAAGCAATCTAAAATCATGTACAAACGTATGTCCCTGCATTTGCCATTCAACCTTGTTGCATCTAGCAGAACTAAATAATTGTTGGCCTTTAGCCATAGTGATGGCCAAAGGATGAGGGGTAGTAACTTGTATGCCAGCATCAGCCCACTTTGGAGTCAAAAAACTATGTGTACTCCCACTATCAATTAAGATATTCAATGATCTGCCCTAAATAGATCCTTGAATTCTCAATGTAGTATGTCCAATAGATCCCGTAATCGCATTCATAGAAATTTCTAGAGTTTCCTCTTCTGCTTGTTGAGATTGTTCTGAATCAATAGGAAAAATTTCCAAAGATGGATTTTCACAATCTTCAGTAATCATATTCAATTGTGTGTTCTTACATTGGTGACCTGGAATAAATTTATCACCACACTTGAAACAAAGATTATTATGCCTCCTGTAATCAATAATATTCTGCCTTGGATTCTGCATTGCTGTAGGTTTTGAATTAACTGGCAGTGAAGCAGGTTTAGAACTAATAATGGGGCTTGGGTAGGGTGGGGATTTAAAATTAGGCCTCAACCTTCTATTTTCAAACTCAACAGATAACTCATAAAGTTTTGCCTGTTTACATGCTTCAGACAAATTCTTAGGATCCAAAGCCTTGACCATATGTTTGATATCATCTCTTAGCCCACTAATAAAGAGTGAAACAAAAAATTCCTCAGTTAATGTGGGGTTTTGTAACAACATATGAGGTTGTAATTCCTCAAATCTTTATTGATAATCCTCAACAGACCCTTTTTGAGTCAATTTAGTAAATTCCTCCACAATATCAAAAAAGGTTCTATCACTAAATCTGTGACACAAATCAGCTTCAAACTCATGCCAAGTTACATGATGTTTTTGCATAATATACCCATCAAACCAAATTTCAGCCTTGCCTGTTAAATACATTGTAGCTACTTCCACCCTCTGCTCAACAGGAACATTACAAATAGAAAAATATTTCAGGCATTTATGAATCCATCCTCTAGGATTAACCCCTTCAAAGAAAGGCAATTCTATTTTAGGTCTATGCCACATAGTTCCTACACTGCTAAATGAACCCCCTGACCCCCTTTTTTCATCTTCTAATCCCAACATAATAGGCATAGATTCATTGTTTTCACCCATTTGATTAATAGGCTTAAAACTGTTTTTAATGGCTAAACAAGCATCAGTTTACTCTTTAATATCCCATGTTCATCCGTTTTATAAGTAAATCTAGACTTGTCATTCACCACAGTCACCACAACAGGGCTTTTCTCCTTATGTTTAGAAGTATCAGGAGATTGTACCTGGTCTCCATCAGACTGCTCTTGCTCCCCTATTCTGCCTGTCAAAATTCTAAGCAGTTCCTCAACACAGCCTTGATTAGTAGCCATTCTGGACTCTAAAGCAGTGATTATATTCTCCTGATTTTCCCACCATTTAGGTGGATCAGTTTCATCTTGGCCTTTCTTCACCAATGCAGCTAGATCCTCAATTTGTTTTTGAATCCCAGACAAATCAGTTTCTGCCATAGCTTGATTCTTCTTTGGCATACCCACTAGACTTTGCCAGAATCGAGGCTCTGATTACCAATTGTTATAGAATAAGAGAAAAGAGTAGACATGAGAGAAGAATTTAGAGAACATAGATAGTAGAAAAGAAATTCATCATTCAATTCATAATGGAAAATGTGATTACACATTAGTTTTATTTAGCTACAAGTTGTACAGAGAATCTAACACTGCCAGCTGACATTCTTTGTTAACAAACTTCCTAACAGATTGGTTCTTATCCTTCTTTGGCTATTACAGGTACTGGGCCATCCGGTTGGGCCACTCCACTTTGCCTTGGACCTCCTCAGTCTGCTTCAACCCATCAGGTAACTTCATCTCCTTTTCTCTTCGTGCTTCAATTCCCTCTTCTAATTCAATTCCCAAATTACTCTCCAAAATCCCTAACCCTCATTCCTCTCTTCCCAATTCCTCTTCGCTTCTTCGTTCCTCCTCTTCTCCTCGATTTCTTCCTCTTCTCCTCCGACTCTAACACCATGGTCGTGGAGACACCCATGGCTGTCGTTTAGCGCTTAACTACAACTATTGTGTCAGTTTTTTTTTTTTGATCATTAGACTATATATTTGATTAATTAGGTCATTAAACTATTAAAATGGTTTCAACTAAACTACTAATGGTCAACCCATTCTTTTTCATATTTTTATGAGCACAATTTAACCTCAATATAAGTTTTGAAAATGATAAAATAAATATTTAATTTGGGTTAGTGATTGAGTGTTAATTCTACATTGCTTACGCTTAGGTCCTGGGTTTGAACCCTCCCCATCCCATCCCATTCTTTTCATATTTTCATAAGTATCAACTACAAATTAACTTAAATATAATTTGTTTTTAACAAAGAATCAAATTTTATATCTGGTTCATCGATTAAGATGTGCCTAATCTGTCTCCAATACCCATGTCTGATTCCCTTTTATTCCATCTTTTTTTCATATCTTCCTAACATCAACTACATATTAACTTAAATAAAATTTAATAGTTTAATGATCTAATTGAAAAAATTCATAATTGAGTGATCAGAATAAAACTATTCGAGTAATTTATTGACTCGCAAGGAGAAACTAAGTTCGAATTTGAAAAACAATACTATTATTAAGAAGAATAGTACAAATTTCAAACATGTATCATAAAACGAACATTAAAGAAAAAATAATTAAAATTAATAAAACAGTAGTTATTTGTAATGTAAGTTTCATTAGTTTGACTGAAGCACCTGAATTCAGTTAAACAATTAATTTAGTCTTTTTTTTCAAAAGAATATTCTGCCTTCCCCCCTCTTTTATTGCATCTTCTCTATATTAGAGTACCAAGAGAGTTGGAATTACTACTGTAAAAGCTAACAGATACACTTCATTGAATTTGATTTATGAAAAATAAACAGAAAATTGAAAGGAATCGTTAAATAAATACAACAATTCAAAAAGTATAATAATAATGAAAATGGCATCCACTCTCTTAAATAGAGAATCAATTATAAATATAATCCAAATAGACCCCTGCTAAGAATTATAACCATTCATTCCCTACTTAAAGGGAACTTTCGAATAAAGGAAGAAAATCCAAACTTTTGGGAGAATATATTCAACAACATGCTTGTCAGTCGTGCAACTATTGCACTCTATCCACGTTCCAAATGCCAAACCCTAATACCTTAGGTAAGCACAGCATGGAAGAAATTGCAAAGTCCGTTCCATTGAAGGGGTAAGATTTTAAATATTGTGGTTTGCTCCTTCACATTCGAGGAGTTAGGATCCTGAAGATGATGGTTTGCTACTGTGCACTTGAGGAGGCATGATTTTAGAGATCACAATCATCCAATTTGAGGCGAAGACACCTGGGGAAATAAATGATTAGATAGTGGAACTTTGAAAAGGTAAACAGCCCCTGTAACTTTGAAAAGAACATCGTTCATCCAACTTGAAGCGATGAGATATAATTTGCTCCTCCAACTTGAGGCAATGAGACTTTCTGAAAAGAAGTATAAAATTCTCCTCTAGCTGGAGACCATGAAACTTTGGAAAATAAATTACTTCTCGGACTTTAGACAATGAAACATTTAAAAAGATAAACTGCTCCTCTAACTTAAGGTAATACAACTTTTGAAAAAGTAAACTATTCTAACTTGAGCCAATAATTTACTCCTTTTGAAACTTCATCATATTAGATATACCGTTTTCTTCACTTTGTGCACAAGCGTTTGGAAGGGTTAATAAAAAGATTTCAAGAAACTCGTCTGAATCGAACTAATTTTTTCTTACAATAAATCACAGAAATATTGATCTCTAGATCAATGGGTTAATGGAAAATATGAAGATTAGATTTTATCAAATCAAAGTAAGTAATTTATTAATTTCATAAAATAATGAGGTGGAGTTCATAGTTAGAGCTATAATGTTTTGATAGTGGATTGCCTACTTTTAGCCATATCAATAGTGTGTTAAAGATTCTGACAATTAATTAACAATCAGATGGTTTAGTGAGATGAAATATTATATTTCTCAAGTAAGATTAGGATTTTGAACCATGACGTTCATGAGTGGAGCGAACTGGATTGATATGGTCGTTCTCATAATAGGCTTCTGCAAAACTCGATTTGAATTAATCAATCAATAAATCAAATACATTTGATTAATTTAAAACTTTTTCCAACTACCAAAGTATAAACGCTTACGTATGCACCACTGACCTAAATTGTGTGAACTCAATATCCTCAATTCAAAGCTTTTTTAAAATGCACGTAGAATTTAGTGAAGAATCAGAATCCAAAACATTTAATATTACGGATTCCATCAATTGCATCCACCTCAATTTAAGGCTGCATACATTTTGGCATCCCCCAAGAGTCATATATCCCGAAATTCAAATCATTATCGGGTAACCTACAGTACCTAAGTTATTACTTTTAGTCCATTTTAGTACTCAAGTTTTATTTTTTTAGAATTATACATGATGTTTAGTTTAGGTTTTAATTTGCTGTCACGTCGTTAAAAAATTAACATAATTGTTGATGTGATATTTTTTTAAAATTTTTCAATGATAATGTGATTACTTATAGGTGACATGCAATGTTATCGCTAATTTTTTAGCAATGGTGTACCAAAATGATACTTAAACTAAACGGTAGGTACGAGTTGATGAAGAAAATTCAAAGTTTTGAGAGAATATTTCATCAACATGGATACAAGTATTGCTACTTGAATAAAAAGCTAACTTAAGATAGAATTTTAGATAGGAGTGCATATTTTGGTTGGGGTGGTAAGCATGCCTTGATGATAAGGATGATCCGGTTTTCAATTTCTTGATCATTATATGAACTTTTTTGAACAAATTTTTATTTTTGTATTATTAGATTTGGAATTAGATTTAATAACCATTTAAATAGTTTTGATGATGATATTATTTGAATCAAAAACATCTCATTGCACATAGAATTATTAACTCCATCTCGTCCTAGCAAAGCTTTTAATATGCACCTAGAGTTTGACGATGAATCAGAACCCAATACTCCGAGTAATGTTAAAGTAAACCAACCTTAGTACCGTCACAATCAATAGCAACTCGTTGCATCTAACTCAAATTAAGGGAACATACATTCGGGCATTTCCCAAGATTCATATATTACTATTTTATATTAATGATTAATTTGTGTACATCTATGGATTCAAGATTGAAAAAGAGAACGGCAATAAGAGCCAGATCAGTCCTCACTAAGCCACATCTTCTAACTGAAGGAAGAGTTTCCTTTTTGACCCAAATATGTTATTTTTTTAATTAACTATTTGTATCTAATTTATTGATTGACTAATTCAGATTGAGTTTTGCGAGTACGAGTCTCCTAATCTAGTTTGTTTCATTCACAACCAGCAAGATTCGAACATCTGATTTTACTTAAAGAATTTACCTTGTATTTACTAGATTAATAAAAAAACACATTTAGTTTATGGAAGTTAAAGAAGATCAACGAGTAGGATTTTATGTTGAGAGATCAAACTTATAAAATCTGAGGGAGGCCAAAATTATAAAATTTTAATAAAAAATAAATTTTCAATTGAAAATATAAAAAATATCCAAAATATATATAAATTGAGGTGACCGCCTCCACGGGTCTCCCTTAGTACATCGTTATCGGTAATACATAAAAATTCTAGTGGAATTACACCCTATAATTATAAAGTTCGAATTCAAATTTTAAAAAAAAAATCACTCTATTTTATTATTAAAATCATTTAATGAGTTTCCATCACAATACTCAAATATGAATAAATGGGCCAATAGCATGCAAGATGCTGCTGTATCTATCTCTCAATTCTCAAGTGCGACGAGGAATATGAACCTATTGGACAACTCCGAGAATGTGATAAGGCGCGCCCATGTTTGACGCGCACAGTGAATCTTGTGCATGTGGAGTGCGCTCGAACCCACTCCCCAAACTCCGAACGAATCTCTCAAAATCCCTCCCAATTTTCACTAATCCTCTTATTATCATATAGAGATGAATACATGATTTTACGTCAAAGGGATAAATTTATAAAATTTTAAAAAAGAGATAATCATATAAAATTTTTGAAAATAAAATTAAAATTTTAATAAAAAAATATAATATATATGAATTTTAAATTTTTAAGAGATGACTATCTCACCGTCTCCTTCAATCCATTCATGAACCTTGCCCCGCCATAGAAATTTCCATGCCTTAGGTAAAACCTCTATATAAACCCCAGTTTTCTCCCCGTCAAATCTTCAAATTTATGAAGGATTTCTGTTAGGTGACATAATAATGAAGCTAATCACAACCGGAGAACGAAGATATGCTCTTTTGCTGGCCGCCAGTGACTCGGAGTATGTGAAGAAGGCGTACGGTGGTTATTTCAACGTGTTCGTTGCTGCTTTTGGAGAAGAAGGGAGAGGTGGGACTTGTTCAGGGTTGTAGACGGAGAGTTCCCCGACATAAGCGAGCTCTACAAATACGATGGATTCGTAATCAGTGGCAGTCCCCATGACGCTTACGGGAATGACCAATGGATTCTCAAGCTTTGCTTCCTGTTGCAGACACTTGATGCCATGAAGAAGAAAGTCCTCGGCATCTGCTTCGGCCATCAGGTAAACCAAACATGTTAAATTCTAGATTTTTCATTAAAAATGATAATTAACTCCATGTTTTCCAACAGATTCTGTGCAGGTCATTGGGGGGAAAAGTTGGAAGGCATGCAGTGGATGGGATATTGGGTTGAGGAAAGTGAAAATTTTGAAAGATTTGTCGGTCCCAAGCTTCATGGAAGAGTTGGATGACATACCATCTTCACTGTCGATCATAGAATGTCACCAAGATGAAGTGTTTGAGGTCCCAATGGGAGCTGATGTGATTGCATCTTCGGACAAGACCGGGGTGGAGATATTCGTGATTAGGCAACACATTCTTGGCATTCAAGGCCACCCTGAGTACACTAAAGACATCCTGTTCGATCTCATCGATCGGCTTCTCAATAACAACTCCATTCAGGTAATCCAATTATATATATACACTATCAATACTATCTTATAATCATGTCAGATTATGTTTATTTTGTTTGTTCTTAACTTCCTCCTGGTTTCTGTTGAATATGCAGAGAGAGTTTGCTGAGAAAGCCAAATTGGGATTGGAGACGGATGAACCAGACAGAAAGAGATGGGAAAAGATATGCAGGGATTTTCTTAAGAGAGCACATCATTTCAGCTTTCCTTGATAATGGGTTTGATGGAATTTTTTCAAACGCCAAGTTTCTTGGAACAAACCCAATTGTACTATTAAAGTTTCCACACAGTGTTTGTATGCCTTTTTTTTTAATTTTATTTTCCTTTGACATGAAACAAAGTTATAAAAAGTTTTTTTTATTAAGCTAAATGTGGTTATAAAATAATATATGTTCTAAGT